ATTAGTCAAAGTTAAGTCAAATTTATGTTACGACTAACGGTTAGTCGGCCAGTCTATCTTGGTTTCAAGCCCCATCTGAGACCCAAGACCAGATTTTTTTTATTGTCGGACAGTTTCGGGTTTCTTGATGGGAGACGCCCTCTCTGACGACAGGATGGGTCTGTCGTTTACAATTGTTGCCGGTCATCGCCAGCGCAGTCATTCTGGGGTCCGAGTTTCGTGGGAATCACGAACATATTTACTGTTTCAGATTCAAGACTTCCTCAACATTGAGGGCCAGGTCCCCTAGGAAAAGATGTGGTCCAGTTATAACTTCAAGCACTGAGTTTCATTTTCGTCCCCTACTATGACTAGCAGGGCTACGCTGCACGGATTCCAACCCGCCTCCAACACGGGCTACTGGTCAGGAGTCAGGATGAGAGTTAATTTAAGATTGGCGGTTTATCGCCAGTCAGTTCTTCTTGGCGCCAAAATGCTTGAGGCTCTCGGCCACAGATTTTTTTTTCGACTGAACCCTTGTGGTCATAGTCCTTATGTAACATCCTTACTGACGAGAGGATGGGTTTGTCTCTTATGAATAGTTTTCCCTTTTGCCAAGTGTACATATTGTACATATATCATACTTACTTACTTACTCATGGAGCTGAGCCTTTCTGGAGGATCCGCCAATTCTGCAGCTACTCAAGAATTCCCCAGCATTTTATGGAACCCGAAGGTTCATTATCGTGTTCACAAGAGCCCTCCACTAGTCCCTACCCTGAGCCAGATCAAACCAATTAATATCATCCAATCCTATCTCTCTAAGACCCACTTTAACATTGTCCACCCACCTACGCCTTGGTCTTCCCAGTGGTCTATTTCCTTCTGGCTTTCACACAAATATCCTACATGCATTCCTCGTCTCCCACATTCGTGCCACATACCCTGCCCACCTCACCCTCCTTGACTTGATCATTCTAATTATACTTGGAGAAGAGTACAAGTTATGAAGCTCCTCATTATGCAGTTTTCTCCAACCTCCTGTCACTTCATCTCTCATCAGCCCAAATATTCTCCTCAACACCCTGTTCTCAAACATCCTCAGTCTCTGTTCCTCCGTTTGCCGCAAATTCACAGACGCGACAAGTATAAGTCATTACTGTGGAGTGCTAGTTTAATGCTGGTACTTGAGCGCTCATATCTGAATGGAGAGTAGATTCTAATAAATGTTCTGAAGGCCTTGGCTTCGTCATTTCTACGTGCAGTCTCCATGCAATCCTCTTATCGAAGATTACACCGAGATATTTTACATGATTGACGAAAGGGATCAATTCAATGTAAGATTAACGTCAGGGGGCCTAACGGGCTACTACACAGTCAGAGATAGAGATATTTTGCCACTGTCAGTTTACCGCCCATCAGTTCGCCTTGGCGAGAAGCCCCTTGAAACCCACGACAGAAAATTTATTTTCCCACTGAACACTTGCTGTTATAGTCCTTATGTAACATGCTCTCTGACGAGAGGCTGGGTCTGTCGTTTACAATTGCTGCTGGGCCTCGCCAGCGCAGTCATTCTCAGGTCCGAGTCTCCGCAACTCACGACCATATTTTATTGCCCCAGATTATAAACTCCCCAAGCCTGAAGAGGCAGCCCCCCCCCCCAGGAACAGGGTGGTTACTAGCCGGCTTGTGTCCTCGTTACGTAGCCTTGGCACGGATTGCATAGAAAACACTGCTTCCAACAATTCTTCCATTGTTGCGTGCTTATTTGTTGACGCGGATACGCGTTTATCGAGTTTTTACCAAGTAACGGTTGTCTTCTTCAGTCATTACGTCATAATATTTATTGCGACATAAATACAGGTTTTTGTTTCAAAGGTGATATTTTTAGAGTGCAGAAGGACGAGGATTCGTATCTCAGAGAACTATTTTTCAAGCTGCAGAGAATGTGCAATCCGATTGTAAATCCAGTTTGTGATCTGCACTCTTATAATGAATTTAATGAGCCGCTTAGAGAAAGCTCTGTGCAAGAAGTCTCCAGCATGGACTCTTCTATTTCTCTTTCTGAAATCTTCTTCTGCGAAAGGGAATTAAATAGCGACTCTACCGTTTATTTCACTATATGGAGAAGTTTTATATGGCAGTAGTAAAGGATAACATGCCCTTTTATTGTCTTGCTTTCTTGAACACAACTTCTCTGTTTTACGTAAGAAGTTCTCCTGCAGCGATTCTGGAAACAATCCTGGTCGACAGGACGCGAATGTAAAGTGGACAGGCAATATTTAAGCGAATGCGTACTTTCTTCTTATGCTTCACATATTGCTTATACTTTTGAAGTATTTTGTAGGTCTGACGAAGAAGACAAGGAATGCAAAGAGATTTCTTTTCATCTCGAAAGCTAATAGAAGAAAATTCAAACAGGTTTGGGATATGTGAACTCTGAAAGCATGAAAAAGACTGAAGGGTAGAGGATTCAGCCAGCAGTACAAATTGGTGTTTTCTTTTTGCTTGTGGGGTGGGACTAAGTCCCTTGTACTGCGGCCACTTCTGGCCTATTGTACCAGCCCCAGATGATAGGTGAGGGTGATTGTGGAGCAATTGGTTGGAATGAAGAATGGCAGGGGAAACCGAAGTACTCGGAGAAAACCTGCCACAGCGCCACTTTGTCCACCACAAATCCCACTTGACCAGACCCGGAATCGAACCCGGGCCGCCGTGGTGGGAAGCCAGCGACTAACCGCATGAGCTATGGCGCGGCTACAAATTGGTGTTAATGGTGTCGAATCTTTGGATTATTTACTATTTCTGAGGAACACTTTGATGAACTGATGTTTGCCATGTTGTTAATCAAGAAAGGGAACTAGGTTCATACTGAGCCAGTCAAATGCCACATGGAATTGAGTTACAGAAGTGTCCACGACGAAATGCAGTGAAGTCAATACATGCTGACAAGTCTTGCTGAGATTTCAGAACTCATAAAGTGCACTTCTTCCCCGAGTTTCATAAAGATAAAACACCGCTTTAAGAATTAAGTTACTATTCCTAATGACAGTCTCATGATGGCGCAGTCGGTATAGCGACTAATTACAGGCTGGACGACCGAGAAGTTGGAATTCAAGTCCCGGTAGAATCAAGAATTTTCTCTTCACCAAATCATCCAGACCGGCTCTGGGGTCCACCTAACCTCCTATCCAAAAGGTACCGGGGGCTCTTTCCCCCGTGGATAAAGCGGCCGGGGCGTGAAGCTGACCACTCACCTCCTATTAGTGCCGAGGTCAAGAAAATATGGATCTATACATCCACTCCTTCATGTATCTTCATGGCGTAATGTTTAATTACTTAAGTACAGGAACAATTCTACCTCTACCTTTAATGACAATCTCATGAATATACATATATTCCCATTGGCAAAAATGATCACCGTATATTTTGTAGCAGTTCCTTGAATGCTAATATTTTAAAGCTGATAAAGAGAACCCACCGAAGGAGCACAGAAGTGACCAATCCATTCTGATTCTATAAACGTGTGGGTGTGATATCAGCATGTCAGCATGTTTCTGTGACACCATTCATGCTTATACTAAAGTCGTATTCGGAAGAAGAAACACACCACATATTTTGAACTAAATAAAAGTAAGGATTAATAATCGGGTCTAAAGCTTTTTGGAGTTGTGAGAGTTCTTGTAATTAAGTAATATTTTCTCTCAGTTTCGAGGCTCTTCTGAAGATACAAAACAATTGCAGAATGCAGGCAAGCAAGGAATTTTAGTACGAAAGAATGTTTGCTGAATACGAAGATGGTATATGCCTGTACCAATATATAACTCAATATGTCATTACGTCTTATCTCTATGTGGTATAATGAAAAGTAATTTTCTATTTTCACGCAATTAAATTTCTCATATCCATATTTTATATGTGAGTTAACGAACGTCGCCGTCCACTTGCTACCATACTCATTTCGTATTTTGAAGGTCACGGGTTCGAATATCGACTCGGGGGCTGGCTATCTCTACTGTAGACATCTATACAAATGCCGGGATTCTATCTTATAGTAGACCACGGCAATTTCTTTTTGTGTCCTTTTCAATTCATAATTCATTAATAGTTTTATTAAATATCTATTAGAACAGTAAGTAAACAATAAATTAATTAATTAATTAAAATTTAGTATTATCATCTGAAATTTTTAAATTTACATAATTTATTTTTTATTAAACTCAGCTGTATGGAAATTTTATACATCATTCTAGACAATCTGGGAATTTATTTGTTTCTACTGACATCGCTGAACTTAATAAAAATGGTCCTCCTTTTCAGAGGACCCCGAAGTGTCTGTTATCATATCTTTTTATTANTCGTTATGACAGATTCTTCATGAAATGCACGTTGAGGTCCTAATCTGTTGGCACAGTTTTTCTTGGAACTCTTGTTATTGCCTCCTGTGACGCGCCGACAACTTCTGCACATAAAAATGCCCTACATTTGCGTCCCTTCGGACATTTATCGCAAACTCTTCCTGTTTCTTCAAACTGTTTAATAATCCAGTAGACAGTGTCACTCGATAATGCAACACGAACAGAAAACTCTCAACAATACCATCTCCCCACAGCAGCTCAAGAACCACCATAAAAGTAAAATGTTTTGGCAAGAAACATTTTCTGATCCGTCATAAAAGACGCCATTTTGATACTCACTTCAGCGTTGCAAGTAGCGGTAAACAAATCTCCCTAGTGTATACAATATGTTAAACGTTTTTAAAAATGTGTTCAATGAGAAAGACGTTATACAAGTTTCACTGTGTCAGATAAAAGAAAATCTTTTGTAAAAAAAAACATAACTGTCACCTTATGATAGACTTTCATTTCATAGATCAGCTGGAGAGAGCTAAAATGTAGTTCTTTTCTGGCTACCAGCTGAGACTCACTTCTGTGTTTACTTTGTGCACATTCGTTATAATTTCAGGCGATTCTATGAAGCGGCGATTGCTTTGTGTCTTAAGAAATACAGGTTTAACTGACCTTGCCAATACGGCTACTCGAGCACGTCTACGAGGCCGATCAGGTTTCTCGGGCGTTTTGTATCCTGTAAAAGAAATGATTCAACAATCAAATATTGAAAAATATGTTTCTACTCGCTTTTCATTATCGTTAAATACGATATGGCGTGGTCTGAGTAGCAGAGTGACAGCACTCACTGCATACCGATAATAATATTCCGGATCACCCTGAAATGGTGAAATTTAAGCTTGACACTCAGGAGGTAACAGATGGATTTCGGCCGACAACAGCTTAACTTACAGCTGATACATCAGCTCCATTGGTTCCCTTTCTTTATTCTGTAAGAAAGAACGGTCGTCATCACATAATTATGCTCATGTGTCTAGCCTACTAAGAACATCTGAGAAAACTGGCAGATATCTACGCAATTGTTCCTGAATCTAGAATTTTAAGACATCACAACACATTTCCACGTCAGTTTAATATCATCCGTAGTATCAACACGACGAGTAACATGGAAAGAATTATGTTATGTTATGTTCCAATCTGAGCGTTTCGATTTAAATTTGAAATCTCTTTGCTCAGAGGAATTGTAACACCATCTTTCTTCTCCACTTCACAGAATCTGTTAACACTGTAAATTACAAGCCCCTTTAACCCCACAGCACTCTAGTCTGAGATGTCATATTTCGTTAATGTGGATCCCTATCTTACTGGCCGTAGAAGTGACAATATATTAAGAGTAAAGAGGACGTCATGCGTGAGAGTTACAAATGTCACCCTAAGTGAAATTCTCTTAACCGAATTGTACAGTCTTTTTGTGCAGTGTTGACATAAACATGTAGGAAGTATGATATGTGTTGCAACGTGTAATGAGCTCAAGTTAACTGGAAAGTAACTACATCTATCGTCGCAGAAAGAGACTACATAGGTATCAAATCTCGCCTAGCTTAAACTGTTAAGGATGTGGTAAATTTAATGCAAGAAAGAAAAATATTACACAGACTATCCTACTGTAATACATTTCATGGAAAATGTTTTTAGAAAGCTTAAAACTGTTAAAAATATCCGAGGAAAGCCGATTGGAAGTGTTGGTGTTGTTCATAATTCGAACACTGTACCTAATTCTAAACATACATTGTCTGAAATATGTTCCACGTTGTGTCATCAATAGATAGTGAAGTAGATTATTTCATCATGATTAGGAGATTACTAGCTCTATTTTCAATGCATGGTGGGAACTAGAATCACAACATCGAAGACGTAATTGAACACACAGAACTCCCTATCCAAGAGGCGACCTTCTCTTGATGACGTTTTATGCAGGCGATAGAAATTAAATTTTGTCACTTAGTCCCACAAATAAAGCAATACATTCTTCGACAGCATAAATAATGAAAAAGTCAGTCATGATAACCGGAAATGTGGCTAGATTCAGGCACCTTTCAGTTGCAGCTAGGAAAACCGTTGTGAGTCAACACAGGAAAATTTTATTCAACGTCTTAGAGGACGAATTATCCATAAAAACCAATCGCAATGGCAGACAAATAAACGTCAGGAAAAGATGAGTAGCTCTGCATGATACTGTAAAATCGACGTCCGCATTTTAAAATTCAGTACAGAAAACCTAAATCAGAAACTGACAGATCCGTCAATCAGCCAATCCTATACTTAACTAAACTCGGTCTTCCAAAATCCAAGAATTCATTCCGCAGAAAAATCGGCCAGTGAACCCCAAACCGAGCGACCATAACTCTAGTAATGTTACTGAATATGCAGCATATATATATATATATAGCGTCTTTCGGACGCTAAGATCAGGAAGTTCGATCCAGTACAAAGTCGTATTCTCACCAACAATTTCCTAAAGATGCAATCTCCTTTTGGCAACAGTAAGCCTTCTTGAATTGACTTTTCAAAAGCTACTGGGTTAAATAAATAAATTGAAAAGTCACTCTTGGATATAGGTTACATATCCTAGTCTCCAGTACCTGAGGTAGCAGAATATATGGTAGCAGTTCTTCTATGTTAGATCCCTGAGGAATTACACAACGAAGAACAAATAGGCTTCGAATCTGCAGGAGTGATCGCTGACGCGCAAAAGCGCGTGGCTTACCTCCTGCTTTGAGTATTGATTCAGTCTCTGCGCTTCCCACTTTGTGGCTGTCAAGTCCCTTACACTTGCAGTTGTATTGTTTGCTCTTAATGGGAACAATCAGTGTACGTATATCATCACAGGATCAGGAGTAACAAGTTTGTAGTTCTGGTGCTGTTTACCAGTGCGCCATACCGAGTTGTGTGGGATGCAGAGCACAGATGAACTCAAAGGAAAATGAAGTACGTTTTGCAGCAACAAAACCAGTGAATGCATTTATTAAGTTGCTTGATGTCAGAGGGTCAGACCTCAGTGCCCATAAATACAACACTGAATGCTGGGAGAGATATTTGCCATATCTTCAGTTAGAACTTGATTATTTCAGATAATCGGGATACATAAAATGGAAACAAATAATAAATGACCATTCCTGCATATGAATTATTTATTTTGTGTAGAATCGGAAAGGAGAATGAGTATGTACAGTGAACAGAAAAGGACTGGATAGGAAATTGGTCTGTTTTCGAGCGTTACACAGGAATTCATGTACAGAAAAATGGCGGAAAGCTCTGTAAAGATACAGAATGTCCCATCTGATATAAAGCCGAAAACCTTCAGAGAGTAAACGTCTATGTAACCACAGCCCGTCAATAATGCAATTATTTATTCACCATTTAACACTCAACACAACAGGTTTCGGCCAAAGATGGCCATCTCCAGGTGTCTTAACGCATCCAAAGTGTTACACTTCTCTGGTGTGCGCTAAAACCGCGTGTTGCAGTCCACTTAAAATAACATAAATAATTAATTAAAATACAATAAGAATTCATATTACAGATAACAGACGTAGCAAAACAACGGGCTAACAAACAGAAACACAAGCTGCAGAAACAAACCTTACGGAATTATCACATAGCTCTAAACAAATGGACAACGTCCCTTATGAGGTGGAATAGGATTTTACGAAGAACTGTAATTAATTATTTGTGTTATTTTTAAGTGGACTGCAAAGCGCGGTTTTAGCCCACATCAAAGCAGTGTAACACTTTGGATGCGTTAAGACACCTGGAGATGGTCATCTGTGGCCGAAACATGTTTTGTTAAGTGTTAAATAGTGAATAAACAATTGTTGCATTTTTGACGGGCTGTGAATACATAGACGTTCAATTAAAGTTTTGCAATAGGATACTGAAATACAAAATTCAGAAAGAAAGTTACACGCATTACAGCTTCGGGACACTTTTCTTTATAACTCGTTGTTTCAGAGCAAATGAGTGGCTTCTGGTGAGATATTCAGCGAATTTAAATTCTTGTGGAATAATGTTACAAAGGCCGTCGTAAACGAGCAGCTTGTAAAGAATGATTTAAATACAATAGTGTAAAACTGAATGGAGTTTTAGTGAACGGCATTTAAAAGACATTATACAAAATTCGTACACATTATGGAGTATAACCGTATTGCGTGTTCATCTTATTGAGTGAGCGTCTGAATTGGAGCAAAATCCGTTGAACTGTCACGAATAGCAGCATATAATGGCCTATGGGAGGTCTAAGATATCTGCATCTACCTGTACCTTTCCTTCCCTCTTCCTCACAGGCAGCAGGAATTCAGGCAAAGAGTTGGCTGGACAGATAAGTACTGCATAAATACACAAGAACATCTACAGACAGACAGTCAGTTAACTGACTTTTGGGCTATACTGTATTAAATAAATTATTCTCTTCCTTTCAGATATTATAACCAGAATTCAGTATTGACCTTTTATGTCTCCTAATACGCTGTTATCATAAAGAGATAAAATAATTGTTTTGGAGCTACAACTTATGATTTACATCAGGGAGTTAGATGAAGCAAATGTTGATTAAACATCGAAAGGGCCAAACGAGAGAGACTACACAATAACTGAAATATTTTCACAGAACTTATCTCCTATTGTTACTTGTCGCTGGTACGGATATGCGAATAGAGGGTAGCAGAACAATGGGACGCTACGTGATATGATGGATGCTTTGACGTGAGCAAAGCAACGCGTTTCTCCGAAAACGTTTCAGAGTAATGTTACATACCAAAATTTCGCTTCAGCAGCGGCCCCTATACTACGTATATCATTAATATACCAGCAAATGTAGCCTAGCATAGCAGAGATGGACTTCAAAGACGATCTCTTTCATAATAAATAATTCCTCATGAGTACTAAACCATAAACAGTTACAGAGTTCGTATTTAATCATCAATAATATTATAACAAATTGAATTTTTCAGAATTATTGGGGTTTTGGACATTGTCCATCGTCCGGTATTCTAGAAACTAGAAAACACAACGTTTCGGAAATTTGATCTGTTTCCATTCTCAGGTGATGGGAGAAGATACCTATTCATTTGGGTCCCTCAGAAGGAGATAACCTCAATCACTGGCTCCATCTGGGTAGGTGTTTCCTCTCCATCACCTGACGACGAAAACAGATCCAGTTTTCTAGTTTCTAGAATACCGGACGATGGATGAAGTCAAAAAACCAGGTAGTTGTGAATATTATACACCACCCTGTATTTAAGCATCCTGTTGCATTACTATATCTAATACTATTTTTTGTACTACACAGTCCGTCAACAACGCAACAAATTGTTCCTTCTTTCTTACACTTTCACTTTGGACACATGTTTCGGCCCTAAATGGCCATCTTCATGCCTCTTACTATGCTGAAACTGCTACACTGCACTAAGGCTTCACGATTTAAGACGTCATACTCGTAGTCAATTAGTATGCGCTAAAATAGCACACCTATAGTTCAATTCATTTTAGCGCATACCAATTGACTACGAGTATGACGTTTTAAATCATGAAGCGTGCAGTCGCATACGCGACGAATGAACCTTATTAGTGCAACGTAGCAGTTTCGGCATAGTAAGACACCTGAAGATGACCATTTAGGGGCGAAACATATTGTGTCGAATATGAGAATGTAAGAAAGAAGGGACAACTTGTTGCCAT